AATTGTTTTTTAAACAAAAAAAAAAAATTAAAAAAACGAGAGAGAGAAAGAGAGAGAGAAAGAAGAAAAAGAAAAACCGAGGGGTTTAAAAGAAAAGAATACTACAAAATAATAATTATTAATAATAATAATAATAATACAAATTTATTTCATATAATCCTAGAGAAAGAAAGAAAGAATTACTAGTTACTTAGTAGATGATATTCAGATAGCTTAAAGTTTAGTAGCATTGAGGGCCCCTGGGTCCAGTAGAATGTATAAAAGTAACGAAGAGAAAAATAGAGGAGGGAAGTGGTTGAGCCCACCCTGAGCCGCCCCGTCTTCAGATGTCAGGGTGGGAGCAGGTTGCAAGTTCAAGATTGGGAGTCTCCAGTCTGCTGGGGTTGATTCTGAGAATCCTTGGATTTTTCACTGTAGGACAAATAGAGGGGCCCAGTTCCCAGGGTCTGTGACCAGAGGTGCACATCAGGCTAAACAGGTGGGGGCTGGGCCAAGGGGCAGCAGGGAGGGTCGAGCAGATTCACCCATACCTCCCACCCTGGGGGCCTGGCTGTTCCTCCCTCTGCTGGGCAGCCCTCCAGGCTAGTGTTGCGTCCCCTCCTGGGGAGTCAGGAGGATGGAGACCGCTCAGCTCAAAACCTAAGCCAGCTTCTTCCAGGCCTGATGAGGAAGTGAGGAAGTCCTTCTTGAAGTGTAACCTCCATCCACTTCACGGCAAGTCATTTAAGAGCCTGGTAAGTCCTTCCACATTCCACAGAGGCAGGCGCTCCTCACCACCTCAGCATCGGCACTGGGCCTCAGTCCCCCACCCTGTTCCCTTCCAACATTCCACTTAGCTTTGACCTCCGCGGCAGGAGTGGGAGGAACAGTCTCAGTCATTGTTCTCTGTTAAAGCCATACAGTGCTTTACAGGTTTGCAGAGTGCTTTGTTGTCAGAGACTTAGATCTCAAGAAGGACTTCCTGCCCGGTGGGGCCAAGTAGAAACACTCCTTGAAGGCCTGCGAGGACAGGGTCTCCAAAGGTGCAGAGGCAGAGTCTGAGTGACCCCACCCTAGCCCTGTCTGTTCCAGTCCACCTTGATCTGTAAGAGCTCAGATAGGGGTCATGCACTGTGCTGGCCTGGGGGCGCATGGCTCTGCCAGAACTGGGGAGCCTGGCTTGCATGAGAGGAATCGACTTTTTTTTAAGCACTTGCCTTCTACCAACCCCAACTTGCAATCAGATTGGGCCTTTCCCTCCTACCCAAGGAGCTGGGGAGGCCCCTTGGCTCTCCTTTGGCCAAAGGAACCTGTTCCATTCTACCAATGACTCTTGCCATGCCCCTCCCTGGCCCTATACCCCAAACACATCTCCCTCTCCCCCATTTACTCTTCTCGCCCCACCTAGGGACAGGTTTCCCCCTGCTCTTTTTGTCCTAGAAACCCCGCTAGTTTGGGATGGTAGCGTCTGGGGTGGGGAGGGCTTCCCCTTCCCACTCAGGGTGCGGGTGGGGTAGGGAGGGTGGGTGGAGACAGCCCTGGGGCAGGGGGGACGGTCTCTCCACTGTAGAAAGTAGAGTAGGGTTGTGGTCAGACTTAATTTGAGGCATCTAGTGACGACAGGAACAAATCCACCAAGGAAAAAAGTTTTCAAAATCAAGGCGGGAAATAAAACAGACCCATAAATAATCAAGTCAAAATGATGTTGCACAAAACGCAGAGAAACCAAGAAGGGGGAGGGTTAATGTATTAAATGTGCTATTAAGAACTTAATTTTATTAAAAGTATTATTACTTAAGGCTCGGTCTTCTTTCTCAGCGCACGCGTCTGTACCACCTTCGGGGAGTGGGAGGAACTGTGGTGGGAATGGCAGTGTGGGGTTTTCTCTAGTGGAACTCTGGGTGCTCCCACACACCTTGCGGGAAGTGGAGGCCTCCAGGGTTCTCCACTGCTTTCTGCTTCAATCTCCAGGCACTCCATCCGCTGGGTTTTCTCCCTTTTTACGCCCTTCTCGTTCTTGGAGGGGTGGCCAGGCCTTCCAGGGGAAGATGAGGCAGAGTGACAGAGACCCTGCTTGGACAGCCATCTCCCAGCCTCCATGAAGGGCAGAGCTGAGAGACCTCTGTCTCTGTCCCTCCCCTCTTGCCCCGCCAGTGACAGCAACCCGCCCCCCTTCTTTGGGGTCAGGAAGAAAACTGGATGGAGAACTTGGACCTTCTACCTCTCAGGCTTAAAAAAAACCCATCCCCAACAAATACAGGCTGATTCGGACTCCCCCGTCTCCCTGGAATCTTCTGCCTCCTCCCCTTACCCCTGGCATTGGAGTGACCTCAGTTTTTGGCACCAGGGCCCTGGGCACCAGATGGTGCCCGCCGATGGCTTCCTTTGTCTCGCCTTCCATATCACCCCCT